ACACACACACACACACAACCAGCATTACCAACCACACACCCACCAGCAGCACCACCCAAATACCTCCAGACTAATTGGGTCTGAAATCAAACTCCGCTCAGCCTTGCTGGACCTCCGGCACTGTGACAGGAACAGAGGGCTCACTTTATATATATAGAGCACGGAGGGACTCGGATTGGACGTCTGTGTGTAACAGGGCATTGATTCACAGTAATCCTCCACTTTTACATCATACAGAACATTAAGGTTGTGTCGAGACAAAGGGAGAATAAAAAGACAACTTCCAGACTTAGAATTAAAACATGTATGTAGTAAATAATAATGAAGTCAGGTATGTTGGACATCATTAATCTTAACTTACTATTTGAATGATGGGGCTTCTGAGTAACCTTACATTGTATCAGGGAGTATCTACTATTAACTGACTCTCCTCCCATGTCAACCCCTGTTAGCTACCAATCTGGATATCAAATGCCTGCAGGTGATGGTAGCTAAGGAAGATTGATAATTTGTTAGTTGTTAGAAATCAGTTTTTTTAGTTAGATAAGAAGATTGATATAGCCAGCAGCTGGTTAGCTTAGCTAAGTTTCAATCTGGTGTATATATGCAGGTTTTCCTACCTTTAAACAGAGCCTGAGGCTAACTGCTTTACAGCCTGATTGCCTGACCACAGATTGTGTCAATCTTCTTATCTGCTCATCTCAGAAAGTGAAAAGGCCCATTTTTCAAACTGGAGCTGCTCCTTTAAATGATGCAAACTTTCCATCAGTATATACGTTTTATACAAACTCCTTTAAACTCCGCTGTCTTTCTTCCTCAAGTGGAGCTGGAAATGCAGTCACACACTCTGCTGACACGCCCGTGTTTTCCAGGCCGTTCTCAGTGAACCATTATCAACCAATCTCTCCTGAGTTAACCTACTTCGCTTACTGTAACAGATGCCTGTGGAGAATATGCCATTCACGTGTCCTCTCCCCCCAGTTCATTCATTTACAGTGGATGACACAGATGAATGGACGTGAACGACCTGACGGTGCTGAAGGATACTCATTAAACAGACCTCGTCCCATTTTAACACTCACTCAGCCATTAAACCGGCTTTATGTCGAATGAATCGCTGAACGAGGACGAGAATACAATACACAGAAACTGGAGCCAGTAGCTGCTACTACAGGGAGAGATTTACAGCTTTAACCTTTTACTTTTGGAATAATTTCACCCTCCGCTGAAAACACACACACACGCAGAAATTGTGGTTTTCCTGCCATCTTTGACTGGAAGCAGCAGGAGCTTTTAATGATTTAGTGGGTGGTGTGAAATAAAGTCATGTGACTGCAGTAACGGCGGCTGTTTGCAGGCAGTGTGTGTACAGAGTGGGTTGTGACACTTTATTGAGATGTGTTTTGAAGATAAAAGAGGGGCAGCAGAGGATCTTGTTGGTGTGGCTATTTCACAATCCAACTGTGTGCCGGCCTTATTGTGAAATTGTGAAATTATATTCAGACGTCAGTTTCTGAGAATAGGTACAGATCGTTTGTTCACTTCAGCAGCATAGTTCAGAGTCAGGAAATTATTTCATTTCAGTCAGAAGACTCTTTCAGCCGTGCACCTCGATATGTGAATGTGCTTTAACACGTCGCTCTGGTGTCTGAATTGAATGAAAAGACTTCAGCGTTAAACATGCACAGAAAAAAATTAACACACGTCTTAAAGTTATCACCCCCTTCATCCAGAGGAGTTAATGTAAGCCATAGAACTGTGCCAGTGTTACATTTCTGACAAGATGGTGATGTCTGATTAGTCTATAAATGTTTTCTGTTTGTTTGTCTGTGGGTTAGGTGACGCAGTGTGTGGATCGTTAGTAATCCAGCAAATATGAATGAAATGAGAGACCTAACTTGTCTGAGGGCGTGACCTACTGAAAAAGTACCATTCTGTCTGCCCCCAATGTACAAATATCATTAAAAAATGTAAAAATAATGTAACTCTGATAGTCATTGGGGGTGTCTAATGGAAAATGCCATTGAGTTGCATTATGGGAATTGTAGGATCCAGCATTTTTCGAGCTGGACTGATACTACAGACTATATCTCGGCCTCTTCACTCCGTTGATTTGTGTCTCATAGGACAGGAGTTCCCAAACTTTGTTAGTCAGGTTTGGAGATGATAGTCGTCCCTGTTTCCTCCCGTGTTGTTCCGACTTCCAAACGATGTTCAGATATACGAGTTGGAAGGTTTCCCTGATGGAGACAGAGAGGAGCCTCGGTGGGCTCCCTGTTGAGGCAGCCGTTCACTCTGTATCTGATCCTTTGAACTGAACCTTCTCAGACCGTTGTTTCTATGCTAATGCTCAACCGCTGAGTTTTGTGCTATTATTATTCAAGCTGATGTTTCCTGTTGATGTTGCTGCTGCTCAGCACTCCCTGTTTTTCTCGTCAGCCTCCGGAGGAAGTCGGGGCTGTAAAGTGTGTGTTTTTATTTCACACCTCTGTATCTTCGCACCTATGCTTCCTGGTGTCTCGGCTCCACTGTTGCGTCTGTAGCACCCGCTCTGTTTGTGTTTGTGTGTGTTAGAGAGGAAGAAAGTGTGTTTCCTTTGAGGTTTTGTGAAGTTTAATGTTGTGGCGTTGTTGGGTGAAAATCCTGTCTCGTCAACTGTCAGGTTTTTTGTTTTCACACACTTCCACAATGCACTTTTAAGCCGCCACCCTCCCTCGTCTGATCACATATTAAACCCCGCATTGATGGGTCTGTGCAGCCTCTCTTGGACAGGCGGTCTTTGTCCAGGCTGTGTGGAATAAGGAGCTGACTGTAGGGCAGAGCAGGTGTAGCTGGGGGACCCGTACGGTGGTCCGTTGGCCCCCAGGTGGGATGGGTGTAGCTGAATCCCTCAGACGTGGGTGGCTGAACAGAGGAATTAATTCCCAATACAGTGAACATGATGACACCAGTGAGGGGAAGAGTGTGGGGCGGGAAATGTTTTCTCTCATTTCACTGTCCTGACAGCCCGCCGAAACCCCTCACTCACCCCTCCTCCCAACCTCATCCTCCCCCACTCAATGGGACATCTTGACACCCCCGGCCCCCCCCCCAGCTTGCCAGAGGCTCAGTCAGGATTTACTGAACAGCGAAGGTGCTCTTCAACCTCTTCATTTAAATCAGTGACTCTAATTGTCCGACTGTTTGATCAGACACAGCGACGGTTCAGACAGACAGACGGCAGACAGACAGACAGCAGCAAGACAGACAGACAGACAGAGCATATTGTTGTTATATATTGTCTGTATATAATAATCCGTCATTCACACTGTCTTGGCCTCTGTCTTGGCGATTGTTTTGGGGAGTTTTTAAATGTAGTTTTGCATTGTAGTGAATTTGGGCAGACCCCATCATCCTGTGTTAGGTCTGGGTACGTAAAAATAAAACCTAATATGAAAGAAACAACAACCAAACTTCAGTTGACTATAACAGATTCAGATAAGCGGGCTGAAAAAGGGAAGGAAATGAACAAGTACAAGACAAGATTAGATTTCTTAAGCTCCGTATGAGACAGCACATGTTCTGTTTTTGGTTTTCGTTAGACGCTTTGGCTGAACTGCGATGTTGAACATGGTACGTGCTAAACATCAGCATGTTAGCATTGTGAGCATGTTGCCATGCTAGCGTTAGCATTTAGTTCACTGTGTGTGTGTGTGTGTGTGTGTGTGTGTGATCACACCATCATGGTTGGGAAGGTTGCTGTAAAAATCTGAAGACGTCACCTTTTGAAAAGAAAATATAAAGATTTTTAGCATCTTCTGCTAAAAAAAATTGTATTCAATGATTGTAATTCTGCTAAATAATCAGTTATAGTGGTGTAGTTACAGTTATCAGAGCCCGAGTCTGTAACCTGTAAAATGTGTCCTGAAAAATCTGGAAGTTTAGAGACTAGTTTCCCAGTCATGGAAACACCTGGAAATCGATTAAAATGACCAAAATGTTTGTTTTGTTTGAGCATTTTTTTTAGTGTGAAACTCGACAGTTGGCACACAGTGGGTTAACCAGACATGAACGTTTAAACGCTGCCTTTTTATTTCAGCCATGTCAGTCGGTGTAGCTGCAGACGCGAAGTGGAACGGACCTGCAGCGATCTTCTCGGTGTCGTGATGAACCTGAAACACTTCATCATTAAAAACAAACATTATATTACTGTTTGTGAGCAAGTGCTGTCCTGGAAAATGTTCTGGAAAGGTCCTGGAAAATAATTTGTGATAAAAGTGATAATTTGATTCAGCTGTTTGTGTTTGTGTGGTTCTCTCTGGAAACCCGGTGGAGTCTCAAACAAGGCAACCAAAGATCTTAGTTGAGTTTGTTTTTCTTTTGAAATCTTCAGAAGCTCAGAATGGTACAACTGTTACACTGTTTCCACAAGTGGCACAGGGTTAAGTTTTTCCCCTCACGCTGCTGCCCTGCCCAGCTCAGATGTACTATAATGCCAACGGATGCCAGCTCCACAGCACACACAGCCTCACCCCGTCCTACTCAAAGCCCGCTCCAACTGGCACTCATATTGCCATCTGCAGAGTCACTGGAAGAGCCTTCCAACGCAAATAATACCTACTTAGGACTAAACTCATGCCAGCACACACACATACTCACACACCCAACACACACAGCAGCAATGGCGTGAAAGACAATCCCCTTGAGAAAAGGAGTATTTTGCGCCAAAAGCTGGAGGATGGAAATCGCGTTAAGCGATGTGTGAAACCTCCGTAGAAAAGCAGATAAATTGAATGCAGCTAAAATTTCCTATTATGTTCCTATTATGGGGGCTGTAAAGGCTTGACATCAGAGGGCAGGGCAGTCCCAGAGAGAGGCGGCTTCTTGGTAAAGAAAGGAATTTGTCACTCAAGCTCCTAAACTCTTAAATCTCCTCTAATACGGCACAATCAGCGGCCTCTAATGTTCACAGAGCGGGTTTCCCTCTCCACTCAGACTCCAGGCTCTGCTCTGATTTTACGCCTCCTCTCTGAAGAGGAAAAACAATCCGGGTTCCCAACCCTGAGAGAGTGTGTGTGTGAGTGTGTTTTATACTGTATGTGTGCTGATGGGGGTCCGTATACCTCCCTCCCTCCCTCCCTCCTCTCTTCCCATAGTGGTAGTGTTTTGGCTAGTGGCTCTCAAAGCCTTTTGAAGTCTCCGGTGTTATCTGGGTGTCAGCTGTGGTGAGGATGGTCAAGGTGGGAGAACAACAGTCTCACACACTCACAGACACACAACCTCTGTGTCAGATAGTTGCTGCGTGGACAACTGGAGTTGTTAAATGAAGTCATACGTTGTGTTTTCCCTCCGGGCCTCATGGCGGTCTGATTTATTGTTAATGTGATCACTACATGTAAGAATAAAGTCCACATGGACGTCATATGCACACATGCAGGCAATCCGTTCATTCATTAACACGTAAACAGGAAGCTTGCACTGTGTGTGTGTGTGT